CGACCCACCCAGGCCGACCACGACGTTCCACCAGGACAGGGGGACGCACTTGGCCTCCACCAGCTCAGACCACACCTGGGGGCGAAGGCAGGGGGTTTAGCTGTCAGCTGATGTGCCTCTGCACAAGGCTGGAAAACATAGACCGTTGGCGCCAAGGCGCCTGCTTCGCGAACACGCACGCGTGCTTTCACTCAAGGGGCGTGCCGGCGTCCGACCTGCCCCGCCCGCCCGCTGCGCGCGCAGTAGCGCGGCCGCGCGCGCCTGCAGCGTCCTCTGGCGGGCGTGCGCCGCCTTGTCGAGGGCGCGGGCGCGCAGCAGCTCCATGAGCGCCTGCTTTGAGCGCAGGTGGGCCGCGGCGGCGCTGGATGCCGTGGCGCCGCTGAGGGCGCTGGGGTGGTAGACCTGGGGCCGGGGCGGGTGGGGGCGCGCGCGCGTGAGTGTGTCCATGTGTGAATGACTGAGAGTGTGTGTGTGTGTGTGTGTGTGCGCGTGTGTGTGTGCGTGCATGCAAGTGTGTGTGCACACGTTCATGTGAACCTGACAAGGGCTTTTGACACACACACGCGCACACATATACACACACGCACACTTTTGCAAAAACACACACATAAGCACACCCATACACACAAGCGCACTTACACCTGCACGAGCGCACGCGCGCACGCTCACTGCCCTCCCACCCTTCCCCCAAACACACCACCCTGCACACCCAGCCAGGACACGAGGCCCCATCAAGACAAGTGGACGCTCAAACCCAGCTTCCTCACCCCCATCTTTCCGCCTCCCCAAGCACCCCCGACCCCCAATCCATCACACACTTCCAGAAGTCCCCACCTGCCGAAAAACAGACTGCTGGTCAAACCCCCAACACGCACCCCCACACTCGACCAAACCATGCCACGTCAGCCGCACCTCTTTCAAGACGGACCCGACCGCCGACAGCACGGCGCAGCGCATGGGGGCGTGGGAGCACGCCAGGAAGGGCCGCAGCAGGCTGATCTGGTTGGCCACCACCTGGGTGGGCGGGGCAAGGGGTAGATGCGTAGGATGGGTGTTTGCTACGGGGGAGTCCGGAGCGGATGTGAGAGACACACACAGAAAGAGAGAGAGAGAGAGAGAGAGAGAGAGAGAGAGAGAGAGAGAGAGAGAGAGAGAGAGAGAGAGAGAGAGAGAGTGTGTGTGTGCGTGCGCGCGTGTGTGTGATGGAGGGGTGCTGTGTGTCTTGTGACATGCAACGTTCAGCGGCGAACAGAGGGG